TAGTTATAATAATTACATAATCACATTTTATCCCTTTAAAACTAGAAAAAATATTATAAATCAGGAAATTAATGAAAATAAAATTTTGAAATGCCAATATTTTCAAATAAATAAACTCAATAAAATGGCTGTTTTTAATTATTTTGGAAATAATAAAATAATAAAATATATTTTTTAATTTTTACCTAAACATTAAAATAAATTAAAAATGAAATAATTGTAGTTCTTATCCCTGCGAGTCTCATAACAAAACCAGAATTTTGATATCTCTATTATATTGTGAGATATCGTAATGGGTAAATTCTCTTGGCCCTTGGAAAACTTGTATATATTTTTGATTATTAATTAACTAAATAATATAATTTAAAAAAAGTTGATTTGGAGATTTTCATTCTGGGATCTAATTTTAGAATATCATAATAATTTACACAATATTTTAATCACCTAGTTTTTAATGCACCGCATTGATGCCTGAATTAACATTATTAAGTGTATGTAATGAATATGTTTTTAGTTTTATTGTATACATTTTCTAATGTTATAATCGGATAATCGTTATATTGATAATCATTGTTTATGGAACATTTGCATGCTAATTTAGAATAGTAAATTGTTTCATTGTATATTTTCTAAAGATAATAAACTAATTTCGAAAATTTGTTTAGATTGTATTAATAGATTAATATTTAATATTATAATTTCAAAAATAATAATTAGTAATTATCCATCCATCTTATTAAATCCAGAATGAAATTTAAAATATAAATATTTTTATTAAAACTCCTTGTAAGATATGCATAGGCAATAGGGTATGCTCTAAGGAGTAAGAAGAGTATGGTGTATTGCGATTATCAGCCTTATCAAAAATTCTGACTCAGAATTGATAAGTGGTAAATATTGGGTAGGGGGTAGCTGCATCTTCACAGAAATATTTTTAATATAGACTTATTAGAAACTTATTGTTCAATTTATCTTTATTATACTGACATAGGATATGAAAAATATTAATAATTTTCATCTYTTCTATAGTTCTATATAACAATGAGATAAATTTTGCAGTTATCTCGGGGGCCCCAATTGCCAGCTGCAGATGTCCGTACAGAGTATCACAATTCATAAGGTTCATTAATTATCATTATTTATTGTTATTTCATGTTATGATATTATATCAGCTATAATAAATATTATGATAAAGTCTGTTATCAAAATGTATTTTTCTGATCTCAGTGTAAATGAATGATAAAAATCCGCCATTTTGATTCCATTCGGTTCTCTGTCCCTAGACGCTTGTGGGGACGGTCACTCGTCAGTAATTTTGTGACGTCATTAATGTGTCTTTTCTAACCTCAAAAAGATATTACGGTACAAATTTACAATAATGTAAACTTTAAATTTTCCGCTTAGTAATTGTAGTTTGGATTTGGAACATTGTTGATAGTAAAGTAATATTTGTATTTACTTAAGAGTTATACTATTATTTTTCTATCGTAGTTATTTAATTTATTGTCAAATATGGCTACTGAAAGATACAGCTTTTCGCTAACTACATTCAGGTAACATTAAGTATTATTATTCAATATTAATGCAAATAGTTAATTTTTAATAGTTTTAGAGTAATTTTGTTTGTGTTGCTTTTACAGCCCTTYGGGTAAACTTGTYCAGATTGAATATGCATTAGCGGCAGTGTCGGCTGGTGCAGCATCAGTCGGTATTAAAGGTTTGTATAAAAAGATTATTTTTTACTACGGTAATTTAATTAATTGAATACTAATMAATAACTATTTGCTGTAAATATAATCTTAAGATTTAAATTAAAAATTAGTTTACAAGAAGTCAAGAACCATATTTTCAAATTCTTAAAATTTTTTTCTGCTGCATAAGGCCTCTTCAAATTTTCATGAAGTTGTGTTTATTAAATTTTTTTGTTCCTTACAGTTTGCTTATCTTTGTGTGTATTAAATGATTAATAGTGTGTGACATGTGTATACTCCTCACCATTTATCATCATACATACTACACACGCTCATACACATGTCATTTATTCATCAGATCAAAATATTCAAAACTAAGTTACGAA